AAAGTCGTGCGGCAACGAAAACCGCAGTGCTTTCGGGGGATGTCACAGAGGTTTCCGAAGCGCGGAAGCCCTAGAGCGTAGACTCCATCACTATCGAAATACCCGTGCGGAAGCCAGACGGACTTACCGTGCATATGGGAAGGGTTTTGGGGATGGGAGGGCTGACCATTCCCTGCTAGAACCCCCCCCGCCGCAGCCGAAACAAGCAGTTGTTGAACGTTCTCGGAAGAAGCTGACTTGCCAACAGAATTTGCAGAACAATGCATCGGTCTTTCGTGCAGTCATGTCTACTGCTGTATCGCCATGCAAACTTTATGCTCGTTCTCTTAAACTGGCGACGTGGAATGTAGAAGGGTTACGAGAGGTGGCGAAGTATGACCAAATTTTTGCATTCATGCGGAAAGAAAATGTTCACATGTTGGCAATGCAAGAAACACATTCTACGTCAATACAAGAATTCTCCAAGGATGGCTTTCTTATCCTCCATAGTGCAGCCGCAGGCTCCCCCAACCATGGAGTCGGGTTCATTGTATCGCCTTCGCTCCGCCCGTATGTGCAGTCATTCATGCCACTAGGTCCGAGGTTGTGCTCTGTTGTGGTCAATACCTCACCTCGTCCTCTCCATGTTTATTGTGCCTATGCTCCCAGCTTGGTGCAGGACGCGGCCGAGGATACGAAGCGCAAGCGCGAGTTTTGGGACCACCTTTCTGAGCAAACGTTAGAAGTTGACTCCCCTCACAGTTTGATTATTGTGGGAGATTTAAATGCAAGGTTAGATAAAGACATTGACCCAACCGGCGTGCATGTAGGTTCCGAAACCTGGGGCAAACGACTTTCCATCGATAGCCCGGAAAGAGACAATGCTGTCTACTTGCTGGAGTTTTTACAAAGCTTCGATATGAAGCTTCCTCAAACGTTTATGTCGTCATCGCCGGCACGCAAAGTTACATACAAAGAGACATCCTGCACCGACCATTTGCTACGTCACCCGGAGGTCATGAATTGGACCACATTGGATTATGTGATCAGCAATCTTTCTCCGTCTTTCGAGATAACTGATTTGGGCAGTCACTTTCAGCAGGCTGTCAACACCCGCCATTTGCCGTTGCTGTGTTCTCTGTCCATTTCTCTTCCTATCAGCTCTCCTAAACCCAAGCCCCCTCCTGCTCTCGACCTTACTCAAACCGCCATGTACTTTCAAAAATTGGAATCGTCGTTTCTTCAATTGTGTAATCACCCTCTGGGCCCACAGTCTACGGCGCAAGGTCATGTTCTAGCTTACACGGACGGCTCGTGCGTCAACAACAGAGTTATCTCCCAAGCCAACCCTGCAGGTTGGGGTTTCGTCGTTTCCAACGTGTATCGAGATTGTCCCGTGCACCCTACCCCCACGTCGCACTGGATATCCTCGCATGGTCGTGTTTGCACCAATCCGGACTACCCTGAATATGCGGGAGCGCAAGTGCCTTCAAACAATACGGCGGAGCTACAGGCACTGGTTGAATTGTTCGATTATCTGTATCATTATGCTTCCTTGCCTGCTGGGCAAATGATCCACGTGTATACTGATTCACAATATGCGATGAACATATTGCTAGGCGACTCTATTCCAACAACGCATTTCACGATTGTCGCGCGAATGCAAAAATATTGGTTCGCTATTCGAAATAAGTTTCATATCACTATCGAAAAAGTTCCTTCTCACGTAGGTATTCCCGGCAACGAGCTGGCGGATCAGATGGCGCGTACAGGAAATCACTCCATCGGCAGTTTAGGTCGATTTTCCCGAGTTCCCTCGCAAAGTCTTCAGCCTCCTGAAGCTCATTTGGACCTCACAAACTGGGAATCCATGACGCTCAATGACCAGAATGCCTTTTTTCGCAGGACCATAGACGAGGCGAAAAAGTTGATACCTGTCTTACCGCTCCAACCCCGCAAGGCGTGGATTTCGCGAGGTACGTTGGACCTCATTACCAA